GACTTCTATATAGTAACCTTGCATTCTACAATCTTGCTATAATTGTTTATTAGTTCCCGAATGTTTTTGGGAACTAGGATTTGTTTCTACATAGATGATCATGTCAGCCATGAAAGGATAGTTTTATTTTTCCTTCCCAATATGCATACCTTTATTTTCTTTCCTTGTCTATTGCACTGGCTAGTAATTCCAGTACAATATTAAAAAGGAATAGTGAGAGGGAGCATCCTTGTCTTGTTTCTGATCTAAGTGGAAAAGCTTCAAATTTCTTACCATTAAATATGATTTTAGCTGTAGGCTTTCTTTTTAAATGTTTAATTTAAATTCAATTTAGTTAATATATACTGTGTTATTAGTGTCAGGGGTAGAATTTAGTGATTTATCAGTTGCATATTACATTCACTGCTCATTACATCAAGTGCCCTCCTTAAGCCCATCACCCAGTTACCCCATCCCCCCACCAACTACCCCTCCAGCAACCTTCAGTTTTTTTCCTATAGTTAAGAGTCTCTTACGGTTTGCACCTCCCTCTCTGTTTTTATCTTATTTTATTTTTCCTTCCCTTCCCCTATATTCATCTGTTTTGTTTCTTAAATTCCACATGAGTGAAATCATATGGTATTTGTCTTTCCCTGACTTATTTCGCCTAGCATAATACCCTCTAGTTTCATCCACATCACTGCAAATGGCAAGATGTGATTCTTTTTGATGGAGTAATATCCCATTGTGTATATATACACCCATCTTCTTTATCCATTCATCTGTCGATGGACATCTGGGCTCTTTCCATAGTTTGTCTATTGTGGACACTGCTGCTATAAACACTGAAGTGTATATGCCCCTTTAAATCACTATTTTTAATAGATTTTTTTTTATCAACTTGAGGGAGTTTCCCTGTATTCCCAGCCACTTTTTAAAAATCCTGTATCTAATTCTTCCATGTGCCACAATCTAGCTCTTTCTCCACAACTCCAGCAAAACTGATGTTTGCAATATCATCTATCAGTCACATGTAGTCAATATAAATGTTTATCTCGGTCAACTTCCCCATCATATTTGATACTGCTGATCACACACGCCTTGAAACATGATTTACCCCTAACTTTTGGGGTGCAATGCTTTTCTGGTTTTTCTTCTATCTTTCTGACCACTCCTTCTCAGACTCCTTTAAAAATTTAACTTTCTCTACCTATTGCTTAATTATTGATGAATTTCTTATCAGTTTCCATTCCTTAGTCTTCCTTTCAAAACGTATTCTCCTTGTGAGCTGACTTATACACTCCCTAAATTTATACAATTTATACAATAACTGTCTGTGTAATTATAACTTACAAATCTATGCCTGACTTAACTAATATCCAGCAAATTCCTCCAATTCAATTTGTGAAATATTCAACTCATTTTCTGCCTCTCAAGACATGTATCTTCAATTTATACTACCTCAGGAAATGGCATCAAGTTGCTTAGGCCAAAAACTAGGGATGCTACTTCTTTACTTCTCCCTTTCTCCACACTCCTTTTATTCAATAACCCCGTAAGTCACCAATAATTATCTACTGTATCCTTTAAATAATTATTGGCTTTCTATTTTCCATTCCCTTTGTTTCCCAAGCCAAACAATCATGTCTGACCTGGTCACCTGCAATAGACTTCAAATTGTTCCCCTGCCTTACTGTGTTCTATTTTTTTCCCCATATTGTCATATTATAGTGACAATGATCTTCTAAAAGTACAAACCCTCTGCATGTCTCTTAGTATAAAGTCCAAATTCTTTAAAACATCATGCAGAATCTGCCACCACTGCTTTCTCCAGATCCGTCGGGCCACTTTATGCCTTCTTTTTAAACTCTAGCCACATTGAATTTCTTGCAGTTCATGGAATTATGACTTTTCTTATCTTTATTATCTATATCTAATATTATCTAAATACTTTTATCTTTCAGCTTGCTAGACTGGAATTAATTTTTATAATCATGTGAAAATGTTAGTTTTTGAGGTAGGCATGCATTCCCTGACATCCACGTTAAGAGGAGACACCTGCTTTATATTCTTATGACTCCATATGCTTCCACTATCACAACACCCATCATATTCACCTATTTATTTATTTATCTGCTCTCCTTGCTAGACAGTAATTTCTGTAAATTTGTGTACCATGGCATTCCACCAGGTATGTAACTATTACTTAGCAAGTACTCAATAGATATATAAGAATATAAGGAAACTAAGATTTTTTTAAGTCAATCACTTATTTTGTTTTCTTTGATTGCATTCATATACTATGTATTTGAGTTGTAAAAGTTCATAATTGCTATTATTTTACTGGGTTAATTTGACAGCACACAGAGAAGAATTATGCCATGGAACTTAGATAATTTAATAATTTCCAAAATTTTCACATACAAATTCTAAAATTTCACTGGTAATATAAATCTCCATATGAAATAAACATATGATGTAATGTATGGTGATTAACATAAAAATAAAAAATTAAAAAAATACATCAATGGTGGAAATGAAAATCTTCTGTCTTTTAAGATATTACATTAAAATACCTATAGCTTTTTTGGGGGAATTGTATAAAATTCTAGTACACTCTAGTACACTGCTTTCTGCACTGGTGCTACCTAAGGATATGGAAAGAACAACAGAAATGTACCACCAAAGTAATAGATTTTTTCAAACTAAAAATGCATAATGGTCTTTAATGATCTAATGTTTCATATATTTTGTCCCAATAAGTAGTTTTAAAAATATGAAAAAAAAAACCCTCAGGTAGGCTAGAGATTAAAAGCACTGCTACTAAATGTTTTTATTTAACAAATATTCAGTATTCCCTTATTATATGCACAAAAACATGGAGTTGAGAAAGAAGTAGTAGAAAGGCAATTAAGGTAATACATGTATGTCCTAAAGAGGTATCTAACCTGACAACTGTGTTTGATTTCCCCTTATTTTTTCACCTTAAAAAAATTATTTCACAATATAGCAAAGTTGTATTTAAGAAACTATGGCCATTGTTTAAACTTTTAGGGTACTTGTTTTCTATTATTTTAATGTTATAAAAGCAAGTCATTAAATTAGAATTGGTATAACTAATATGCTATGCTAAATGACAAAGCAAATATAAAATGGGTATATTTCTTACAAGAACTCTTAAATATATAGCATGGAAGAATGAGGTTGCTTAAAACATACAATAAAAAATATAGCTTAAGATTATATACTATAACTACCTGATTTCTGAGTATCATTAAGTATTTTAATAATATATAATAATGACTCTGAGGAAAATTTAATTCTATAATCATTTGATTCCTCCACAGTCTCATTTGAACTGCATAGACTATGGCAGTATATTTAAAGTGTTGTTGCCCATAGTCTCATTTTTCTGATAAAATGATAAAAACTGAATTAATTTAAAAATATGGACCAAATAATTCAAGTATTTACTTTAAAAATCTATTAATATACTGATTTTTAAATTATTTAAAGACATTTGCCTCTTTAATTCCAGATTTGGCTCTTAAAAATAGCAATAAAAACATTATATACTACAATGTAAGGCACTGTCAGTTCGGGGTTAGCGGGCTTAAAATATAACACTAAAGTTTTATTCTATTCATCTATTCCTGTTAGGAATATTTATGACTATAATTTTCTTCAGAGATATAGACTTTCCTGAGGATATGGTTCTCATATTAAACTCTGAAACTCCCCGTACATATTTGGAGACTGGGTCAAAGTGGTTACAACAGTTTTATTTCAGTGGCACTGTATCAAATCCCCTACACTAGCAGTGAGTTAATAAAAGCCTTAGAAGAGAATTGTATTTGAAATGAATTAAATAAACAAAGTACCTTTCTGTAATAATACAATTGTTTCAGAAATATTACATTCATACTAATGTCATATAAAAATACAAGAAAACACATTTAACAGAGCACACTAAAATCCAATAACTAGTGGTCAAAAATGGAAAGTTAATAGTTTTATTTAATTATTCTTTCTTTCATTCATTCAATAGTTATTGGGCTTCTACTATGCATACAGGTACCAGGTTAGGTGCATTAGATACAGTGATGAGTAACTCAAACTCTTCCCTTACTATATAGACACTATTACTTCTTTTCTTCAAAACAATTTTTCAAAAGCCATCAAAACCTCTCAGTTTTCCAAGATTTATGCTGGTTGGCAGAAATTTAACCCAAAACATGTTTAGTTTTCCTATATTGAACAGATATAGTTCACTTTTTATTTTCCTTGGTACAGATGTGAAAAAAATATAGAAATTTTTTTCCAACTTAATCATCATATTACCTTTAATCACTATACAAATTTACACAGTGCTAAATTATCTGAAGTACAGCTATTTCCTTAATGGGAACAATTTGGAAATTATGGAAGTTACCCTGAATCCGTAACTATACATGCCAATGAAGTACTTCACAGATGAAAAAAAAAAATTGAAATATGATCCATGACTAATCAATATTTGCAAAGCAAAGTTTTTGAGAAGACTCTGAAGAACAATGCAGCTGAAACATCATCTTTGATTTATTTATAGTCTTAGAAAAGTAATGATTAGAAGAGCTAGAAAATACTGATATAATCAGTCACTAATATAAGTTCTCTTTTATTTAGAGTGGCTAATTTAAATAAATTGACTTGGGAATTATTTTTCAGTGAGAATAAAATTTTAAATGTTTATCAATATTAGAGAAATAAAAAATTTATTATATTCAAGTAATACTTGTAGTGACTTTGAAGTATAGTGTTAATCAAAAACATATTTTTAAATTATTTGAGAATACCACTAATACAAATATAATTTAACTCTAAAATACAAATTATAAAATTGAAAGTACTACAGAGGAGGAAACTGATTCATAGCATACAGCAATCTTGTACAGAATACCCATACTGCACCACACCAAATTTGTCAGTCACTCATGCAAACAAAGAAGACAACGACTGAAATGCTTAAATCTTGCACTTACCAACCTCCACAACACTAGTACAGTTGGGATCTGTGAAGCCATCTGGACACTCACAGGAAAAGGAATTGTCAGACAATCCTGACAAACAAACACCTCCATTTTTACATGGATTGGGATCACAAATATCACCTGAGAAATAAAGAAACAAATAATGAATTTTCATTTGTCTTAGGCACCAAAATATACTATGAAATTTCATATTCCGTCTTCCTTTGGTAAAGTCACTATACTGTTTAGATTTACATTTGAATCCATGTGCTTTTAAGAGAGATGGTATATAACATAAAATTAAATTTTCTAATTCAAACATTGCATATTGACTAGCATACTAAAAGTTATTAACTCAGTTTGGGGCTCCTTCATTACATGTAAATGAAATATTGTCTGATTTGTTAAAGATTAACCAAAATATCTCTGGTAGACTGATTTATTAATTATTCCAATAAAAAACCTTTCTAAATCCACACACTTAACTCTGGAACTTCGCAATTTCTCTCACTAAAGGAGTGGGGTTTATTTCTGGATCCCTAGAATCTGGGCTTGCCCATGTAACTTGCTTTGGCCAATAGGACGTTAGCAGACTTGAAGCCAGCAGAGATATGAAAAAGCACTTGAATATTTCTACTTCTTGGAACCTGTCAGGGCTGTGCGAATAAATTCAGGCTAGCTTGCTTAAGAGAGGTGAGAGAAACATGGAAAAGTAAGAAAGAAACTGCCACAGAGAAATAAGTTGTGCTATAACAAAAACCTATAATATGTGGCCTCGGCTTTGGTACTGGGTGGTGGATGGTACTGGTGGAATCTGGAAAGGCACTGAAAGAATGACTACAGGAGGCTAGGAAAATGTGAGACTGTCCTACCTTATGTAGAGAAAAGCAGTTGGTAAGGTTGTCACCTGAGAAAACCTTAGTGAAAGAAAATAAACCTAATGACCTTTTGTATATGAGCTAGGAGATTTCCAGGCAGAATGTTAAAGTGTCAATTGGCTCTTAATACCTGCATTGATAAGGTACTACAAGAAAGAGATGTGATAAATAAAGAAATGATGAGTTTGAAAGTAAAGGAATACAGAGAGACCAGGATTTGATATAACCAACCACCCAACCAACCAACCAGTAACAACAAAAACTATGTCTCAATGCCAGCCTCTCAAACCAGTGAAAGATCAAATCCGGAGCTTTGTCAGCAAGACATGGCCTCAACATAAACATCAAATTGAGGATATGGCTAGAAAGCCCTTATAAAAATATTTCAGATAATTCAGATACAGCCTGAAGGACCCTCTAGGCTAAATAAAAGAGCTTCTAGAAGTCTTAAAGGTATTATCTCCAAACAGCTTGACACACCCAAAGTAGCACTGATTAAGTCTTAAGTGAAAAGCAGGCTTCAGACAAAGTCATGGGTATGGTTTTATTGCACTACTAGTGATTTATCCCAAAGATACAGATGTAGGGAAAAGGGGCACATGCACCCCAATGGTCATAGCAGCAATGTCCACAATAGCCAAACTGTGAAAGGAACCCAGATGTCCTTCAACAGATGAATGGATAAAGAAGATGTGGTTCATATATACAATGGAATATTACTCAGCCATCAGGATGAATACATCAATTCATTTGCGTTGAATGAATTCATTCAATGCAAATGAATACTTACCATTTGCATTGACATGGATGGAACTGGAGGGGATTAGGCTAAGTGAAATAAGTCAAGCAGAGAAAGACAATTATCAAACGGTTTCACTCACATGTGGAACATAAGGAATAACACAGAGGACCACAGGGGAAGGGAGGGACAACTGAGTGGGAAGAAATCAGAGAGCGGGACAAACCATGAGATACTCTGGACTCCAGCAATCAAACGGAGGGTCACAGAAGGGAGGGGGGAGGATAGGGTAACCAGGTGACGGGTATTAAGGAGGGCACGTGTTGTGATGAGCACTGGGTGTTATACGCAAATAATGAATCATTGAACACTACATCAAAAACTAATGATGTACTATATGTTGGCTAACTGAACATAATTAAAAAAAAAACCTCTTAAATGGAAAAAAATTAACAACATAATGTATAAGATGAAGAGCCAATGAATGTTTTTAGCATGTATTTTAAAGTTTTGACATGGTCATATCTATATTTTAAGATGGATATCCTTGTAGCATTTTATAGACTACATTTGAATGGGGAGGTTGATGAATGATAGAGATATTTCAATAGCCTTTCTGTCTATCTCTTTATATATCTAGGTGGCTAGCCACTCAGCCATTTCTCCATTCATCCATCCATTTGTCCATCTAACCTCCTTGAGTACCTATTTTATAGCAGGCACTGAAGTCAGTATTGGGCGTACAGAACTAAAGATAGTCTTTACCATCAAGAAGTGCAGAGTCTACTATGTGAGATAAAAAAGCATGGACAATTACCACACATAGTAAGAGCTGTAATTAGTATACATGATCCAAAATGTAGGATCAACAAAGACCTCTAAAAGGATTCAGTGTTTTCAGGTGATACAGTAGAGGAGGGAGTACCTGCTTAGCATTCTAGGCAAAGGGCGTAGTATATACAAAGTTCCTGGGTCATTCCAGGAACATCAAAGAGGCCACTAAAATTAGAGCATAGATGTGTAGGAGAAATAGAAAGGAGCTCAGAAAGTAGCATGGTCATATAAATTAAGGCCCTGAATATGCTGTGCCAAAAATTTTGAAGTTTACCTTTAAGCGCTAGAATATCATAAAAGGACTTTAAGCGCTGGAAAGTATATGATCACATTTGTTCTTTGGAATGATAACTCAAGCAGCATTGTATTGGATCAAACAGAAGAGTCAAGGCTGAGGGCAAAAGGACTAAGTGTTAATCTCTTGAAGTAGTCCCAGAAAAAAACTGATTTTCTTAACCCTTTTCAGAGACAACTATGAACAGAGAATGCGATGGAGGCACCATTCAATCCCCGATTCAGCTAATAAATACTAGGTAATAAAACAAGAAATGAAAGTCCCCCAAATCACTACTCCTCCTCCTCCCAGATAATTAATCTAGAAGTAAAGGCATTACTGTTGAGATTTTCTAGAAGGAGGCAATCGTCAGTTTGAAAGTGATATCATCCCTCTCTGCTTGAGGTATGAGCAAAGCAACATAGTTTTGTACAGTCCGACTAACAACACTGTCATATACTAAACCACTACACTGCATGAAGATAAATATTAACACCCAAATATATTTTTTGATGAGAATCAGTCATAATTCTGTGTATTATCAATACTACAAAAAGAGGAGTTCTTTATTCCCTAGACCAGGATCTGTTGTTGCAGCAATGTCAACAGATCAAGGCACACTGTAGATATTTCTAATTATTTATTTACACTGACAGAAGCAATGTCTACAGGAGAAAGGCAAGAGTAATATCCCAGAGGTTCTCAAGCATACAGACTACGTTGATATATTTATCCAAAATCAAGTACCTTTCATTCCTATATAACCTATAACCAAGTTCCTGCATGGTTTATTGAGTGATGTGAGCTTACAATCCTGCTAAACCAGGGACCACACAAGGCGGGAATGCCTGGTCCCTTTAATTATCTCATCATGATGGGAAGTTGTGGTGTCCTGAGAAAATTATCTTGGTATGTGTGCTGCTCTTTCTAGGTGATAATACTTAATCTAATCAGTTTTCTACCAGGTGTGGTATGCCAGTCATATGATGCTTCTCTGGTCAGAATAAGACAGGAAGATCGTTCACCCCTCCCTACATCTTGTAGATACCAGCTTCTGTTTACCTGACCTGTTTATTCTCTCTTGTCCGTGAACCTTTTTTGTTCTTTTTTGCTTATGTCTACTTATTTCTAATACACTGTACACTTGTGAAAATTCATCTTATATCTTATCCCCCTTTTTGATATTTACTCAGTGTCTTTTTGAAAGGTAGGAAAGAGGTAATAGATTTGACCAAAATGTACGAGGTAGAATCAAGATAACACTATGACCAAATTGATGTGGAGGTTGAGGGAGAGCAAGAAATCTGGGTTGATGTCTAGAGCTCCTGCCTGTATGACTGAGTAGTTATCTTTCATAAGGAAATTTAGTGGATTTAATTTTAAAGGAATTATTGTGTCTGAAAAGTCTGTGGGACATCCAAAATGAAAATGTCCCATAAAGCTACTGAATATGCAGATATGGAAATGTAGAGATCTTGCTACAATATGGATTGTTAAGTACAGATGTGAAAACTATATTTCAGTGACTCTTTAAAGGAAGGGCAGAGAAGGGGAGGGGGGAGTAGAGAGAAAAGAAAAGGAGAGGAGAGGAGAGGAGAGGAGAGGTCCTTGGGCATACCAACAAATAAGTGAGGAAAAATAAGGAAGAGCCTTTCGAAAGAGAAAAAAAAAAAAAAAGGAAATTAGTGTAGGCCCTTTCCACTTCAGTAAAGATATTCAGTTCATTCACTTAGTGACTTTGTATGTCAAAGTCTGCCCAAGATTAATAAAGGTTCCCATATGTACCAGTGTTAGATGGACAATGTCAGCAGAAAACAAAATTTAGGCCTTGGATAAAGTAGAGGATAGACAACAGAAGCCCATCAAACATAATTAGGGTTATTATAGACTGTGCTTTAAATCTGCTTCCCCACATCTAATTATGAAATGCACCCCGGTGTCAGATGGGTTCTCCATGAAGTAAAGGCTAAGACAAACTTAAGAGTGCAACAAACTTGTGAAGAAGTAATGTCTGTGGAAGATAAATGAAGAGCAAGCAGTAAGGGGCAGGAAAAGCCTTCATCCTGTCAGGCAGATCTGACACCTGTGAAAAGAAAAGAGGGCAGGGGGTGGCGGCGGGGGGAGAAGGAGAATCGAACAAGTAAACCTCAGTTTGTAATACAAATTTGACAAAGTCTTAGCCAACCCACCAGGAAGGAAAGATGACTCTTTAGAGGAATCCTCCAAGAGCAGAAATGACCAGGCACGGGTACCCTTGCCATGTTCAGTCACTGGCTGCAGACACAGTGAGCCTCTAATGCTCCAGGGGGATTCTGGAAGGGCTGCAGATGGCCTCTGGAGGCTAACTTCATTCCTTGCAGCTGGACCGCTGATGTTCTTGAAGGGAGACTGCAGCAGTGCACTTCCAGTGGGTGCC